CCTAGAATCCTGGCCACTGTTTTTATAGCTCAGGGAATGATCCCAGTGGAGAAAATGATTTGTGTAGCGTTTGTAAATCCTTCGCTTTTTACTGAGTGTGATGTGCACATTTTTTTTTATGTTAGCTTAGTTTTTTTTTTTTTTTAACTTTGATTGCAAAATTTCCCACCTAAATGATTTTCTTTAAAAACAGATCTGCTTCTAGGGCCAGACATTGTAGTGCATTGGGTTAAGCTGCGAGCTGAGGTGCCAGCATACGGTAATGAGCACAGGTTTGAGTCCTGGCTGCTCCACTTTCAGTCTGACTGCCTGTTAATGGGCCTTGGAAAGCAGTGGAATTTGGCCCTTGTGCTTCAGTCCTTATACTCACATGGAAGACCTAGATGAAATTTCCGGTGACGGACTTCAGCCTGGCCCCGCCCTAGCTGTTACACCTGTTAGTTATTTAAAACATTAGGGTTCTTAGAGTTCTTACATTATTATGTCAGCTAATTCCCGCAACCTGGTTCTTTTACTGTGAGCCGAAAACACCAGACGCAACGAGGCACTTTAGGAGGTTTGTTCCAAGGGGCAGAAACGGGATGGGGGTGGTGGGAGGAGCAATGAGGGAAAGCGAACATGGAGGCACCTTCAGCGGGGCAGAAGCAGTACTGAGGTGGTAGCAGGACTGTGGTGGTGGTAGGACCGCAAGGGTAAGGCCAGATATAGGTACCTGGGGCTCATTACGTTCAGGTTAGCTAACAAGGTGCAGGGGGGCGGGATTGGAAGGGATTGAAGGCAGGCCCCAGGGGATTGGTGCAGGCAAACAAATGCCTGAGGATAACTGGTAAGTGGGCAGGGTTGAAGAAGGGACTGGGAAATGTGGGATGAGATTCTCTGGTGGTGCCGGATTGTCTGATTAATGAGCAGGTGGAATGACTCCGGGTCCAGGTGGCAGGGTCTCCACGATGACCTTCAAATTGCTCCTTACAACACTTATTTGGGAAGTGTACCAACAGATGAGTCTCTCTCTCTCTCTGCATTTCAAATACATAAATAATCTAAAAAAATAGATGTGCTTCTTTCTGAAGCTCACTCATGCTTGGGCCATCATATATTTTATTACTCTGTAACAATTAATTAAGAGGAAGAACAGATGCGTGTGTGCTTTTGCATACATGGAAGTTGTGTTTTTGAGATGAGGGATGAATGAAGACCTGCAGGGAACTGCAAGAAAGGCTGAGTTCCATGCTCAAAGGTAAAAGGAGTTCATTTCTACGAGTTTTTTTTTTAAGGTTTTAATTTTATTTTTATTGTAAAGGCAGGATTCCAAGGCTTTGGGCCATCCTTGACTGCTTTCCCAGGCCACAAGCAGGGAGCTGGATGGGAAGCGGGGCCACTGGGATTAGAACCAGTACCCATATGGGATCCCGATGTGTGCAAAATGAGAACCTTAGATGCTAGGATACCACACCATCCAAGTTTTATGTTTTTTTAGCATGCTTGAAAACAGTTTGCTGATTGGAGTGACTTGAGATCAATTCATAGAGCGTTTTGTTTCAGTCTTCTGCAAATCTTCTGAATAGGCAAATTTTCTGAGCAGTTTATTGAAGGGGTTATTTTTCTCCAGGGCGTATTTTGAGGGCCTTTGTTAAAGATAGGTTGTATTCATTTCTTGGATTTCTGTTCTGTTTCACTGGTCTGTACACCTGTTTCTATGCCCGTAGCAGGCTGGCTGGTTGCAGCAGCTCTGTGTCTACGGCTATGCCACCCTGAACGTGTCAGGTCTTATCTGTGACAATTCAGCCTCATGTTTTGCAGTCTGGTATTGAGATGTCTCTACATTTGTTCCTTTTGTTCAAGATTGCTTTGGCTATTTCCATCTGAATTTTAGCATTGTTTTTTTTTTTTCCCCTGTGGAAGATGTTCTTGTTATTTTGATGAGGATTGCATTGAAACTATAAGTAGTGTTATGGGTAAAGAAATTGTGGTATGGAATGTTATTTTGTCATAGAAATAATGGAATTCTGACATTTACAGCAAATAGGTGGAAATAGAAGTCATTATATTAAATTGGGTAAGCCAGACACAGAAACAAATCTGGAGTGTTTTCTTTCATACACAATATGAATGTAAAATAGTGATTATTGGAGTCTGGGAAGCAAAGGGAGAGTGCAATAAGGGGAGATTGGATATTGGGTACCAAAGCACAGTCAACTGGAAGTCATAGGTTTGGGTGTTCCACAGCACAGTGTGGCACCTGTTCATGTGTTGTGTTCTATTCTGTGTAACGGCAAAGGAGAGCTGAATAGAAGAGGTAATTGCCTGTAAGAACAGCTTATCCTGTGTGTGCGTTTGTGTATATTGCATTGTACCCCATAGAAGCATAGTGTTAATCTAAAAAAAGAATATTTATTTATTTATTTGAAAGGCATAGTATACTGAGAGAGGGAGAGACAGAGAGATCTTCCATCCACTGGTTCACCCCTCAAATGTTCAAGGCTGGGTCATGCTGAAGCCAGGAGTCAGAAGCCTTCTGCATGTCTCCCATGTGAGTGGCAGGGGTCAAGCACCCAGGCTATCCTCTGTTATCTTCCCAGGTACATCAACTGAGAGCTGAATCAGAAGTGGACCAGTTGGGACTCAAACTGGTACCCATGTGGGATGCTAGCTTCACAGGCAATGGCTCCCCAAGCTATGCCACAGCACAGGCCCCAATCCAAAATTTAAGGAGGAAGGAAGGAAGAGAAAAAGAAAAGATAGAAAAGAGAGGAAATATTTGAAAAGAGGATATTTTGGCTTTAAATAAACAACCCTGAGTTCTATTCTTGTTCTCCTATGTGTTAACTGTGTGACTTAGGGATGAATTTTTGTCACCCGTTTTCATATATGACTCATTTAACTTCATAGGTAAAGTGAGGGTAACAGAATAAGGGCAAACCATAGGAAATGGCTATCTTCAGCTGTCAAATATTTTCATATCTTGGTAAGTTCACAGGATTCAATAACTTGAACCTCGTAGGATTATAATGAGAATGAAAAAGAAGCAAATGAAGTGCTTGGCACACGGTCAGCTCTTCGTGCTGAACAAATATTAGATATGATGAAAGGAATCATTTAGGAATCATCATGAATTTAAGGAATCATAAAGGAAAATTGTTATTTTCCATATAGTAGTCAAACTCAAAATTCTACTTATTTACAAACTTCTACATTAAAACTTATGTCTATTTACTAGAATGTAACAATACAGGGCAAATTTATTTTTCCCATCAGCATTTATAGGTGGTTATGCTCACTAAAATGCAAAAAGAATAAAAATACAATATGCATTACCCCCCCAGGCATTATATATTTTTAAAAGATTTATTTATTTTTATTAGAAAGGCAGATATACAAAGAGAAGGAGATACAGAGAGAAAGAGTGTCCTCCTGTGATTCACACCCCAACTGGTTGCAATGGCTGGAACTGAGCTGAACTGAAACCAGGACCCAGGAACCTCTTCCAGGTCTCCCACAAGAGTGCAGGGTCCCAATGTGCCGGGCCATCCTCCACTGCCTTCCCAGGCTACAGATAGGGACCTGGATGGGAAGTGGAGCAGCTGGGACGTGAACCGGCAGCCATATGTGATCTCGATGCATACAAAGCAAGGACTTGAGTGATTATGCTATCACGCTGCCACCACCCCCTCAGGCATAATATTTTTAAGGTCAACTATGTAATAACACCTATCAGCATAAATGTCTCCTTTCTTTTACTGCTGAATAATTTCCAATGGCACAGATGTACCACTTTTGTTTATCCATTCGTCAGTGGCTAACCTCTTGTTTGTTTATGAAAGGGTGGAATTTATGATTCTTTTTCTATGAACTATCCAGACAGAAAAATCCAGAGAGGAGGGAACTGGATGGCGAGCAAGTGCTTGGGATGATTGCTGACAGTGAAGGGCTCTTCTGGTGGTGGGGTGGGGACGATGAGAGTGTTCTACAAGTAGATAGTGGTGATGGCTGCAAGCTCCATGGATGTCCTGAAGAACCCTTGAATGATACACATTACATCTTGATAGGACTGTTAGAAAAAAAGGCAATAAATGTTTCATAGTATGTGCTCACAGTTTAAAGAAAGAGAGCACCTGGCGGTTTACCCAATGTATTATCAAAAGGAGATGCATTCTGCCTTGACAAGTGTTCCAGTAGTTTCGAGTCTACTTGCATTCAAGCATGTCATTCTTTTTTTTTTTTTTTTTTTTTATTGTTGCTTACACTGTATTATGTAGTACAGTTTTATAGGCGCTGGGGATTCCCCCCACCCCTCCCCATTCTTAATCCACTCAGCATTTGTGATTGGGATTTGACTCAAGTTATTCAAAGAGCTAAGTTGAGTTTTATTTTGTATTTTATTTTTTTAATATTTATTTGTTTTTATTTAACAGGCAGATTTACAGAGAGAAGGAGAGACAAAAAAGATCTTCCATCCGCTGTTCACTCCCCAAGTAGCTGCAACAGCTGGAGCCAAACTGATCCAAAGCCAGGAGTCAACATCTTCTTCTGGGTCTCCCACATGGGTACAGGATCCTAAGGTGATGGACCATCCTCTACTGCTTTCCCAGGGCACAAGCAGAGAGCTGTGTGGGAGCGGAGCAGCTGGGACATGAATTGGTGTCCATATGGGATCCTGGCACATGCAAGGTGAGGATCTAGCCACTAGGCTATCATGTTGTACCCCAAATTGAGTTTTAAAAGGAGTTGAGACAATGGGGCAGAAAGCAGACAGGATTTGAACGCTGCGGAATTGTACTGATGCTGTAACTTTTGTGAGGCTGACCAGGAGCTGAGCTCCTGAATCCAGGGGCTCCCATGGGGAGGTCTTACAGTTTATAAGCACAAAAGCAGTAGAGAGACATTTATTCCCCATTGGCACCAATTCCTTGGCTAGGTTAGATTTAATATAATTGCCATGTGCTGTAATTTCAGGACTATTATCTGCATATTGATTGGGGGAAGAGGTTGTGTCTTGTAATGAATGCATTTCATGATTAAGACGACCCTAACGACATTTTAAAGATTCTAGTGCTCAATGAATCTCATGTTCGCAGGCAATTTTTAGATCCTCTGAGTAAAACATTTATATTTGATTACAGAGATTTCCTTCTTTCTAATTATTATAAGGAATTAGTAGTGCTTTGGGCTGGCCATTTTATTGTCAAGAGAAAAATATTACAGCTATATTTCTTTTAAGACCTCAGCAGGCTCTGCTTCTGCAAGCTCTTCAGACGGGTTCTTCTATCTCCCTGATTTCACTTGACACGACCTTGCCGTCCACGACTTCTTCCACGACTGTCTTAATCTTCCTGGTTTTCTTTACATCTGAATGCGTATTAAGCATTAAGTGTTAATGTAGGGACATGACTGCTGATTTATAATGTGCAGTTCTAAATTGTTATTTTTGTCCTTATCCCATTCTAAAACACATTGGATTTCTTTTTTTTTTTTTTTAATAAAAAAACATCTTAAGTCCCTTTTATAATATGTGCAGCCAATGTGCTTCTCTTCTTTCACTTAGGGATTTTCTACCCTTACACAGAAATATGCTGTCTTGCATTAAGCAGAAATTCCCATGGTGGTTTTGTTTTGTTTTTCCTTTTTTAATATCTCAGGAAGTCTCAGGACAGCGATAATGTAGGCCGATAGACTTGCCCTGCAAAGGGGAGCGTGTCAAAATTCCCACGCAGAATTGTAACACTGTCTGTGGGACTTTCAGAATCCCTAGTGTCCCACCCGCTCCCTTGAGAGCTGACCATTTTATATTTTCCACCAGGGATGGTTCATGGAAAGCCACTTGAGATTCCAGTGATACAGAAAATGTGTAAACATTTGGGCCACTTACCTCTCTCTTCCACTATGCTGTTTAAAAAAAGAAAAAGAAAAAGAAAAGCGTTATGGCTTGTTATAGTTTGAACAAGATTTGCTTTCCTCAAACGAATGCATGCTTTCAAACCCCAAAGGCTTATGTTAATGGTGAGTGACTTTGTTGATAAGTTAGGGCAAAGGTGGGGCCTGTGGGAAATCATTGGATTGGATTGAGTTGCTGTCTATGATGGCCTGTGTTGGAATCATGATGGAGAGAGAGACCACAGGGGCAGGTGACATGTGTGGTCCCTCTTTGGGCTTTCTGGATCTGAATACAGTCATCCCTTTGTCATCCTCCAGCCTTCCCAGATGCCTAAGCCAACGGGGCCACTTGGTCTTGGCCTGAGAACTTCCAAGTCCTCTTCCTTCTTAAGACACCCCTCTCACGGGGTTTGGTTAGTGTGACAAACAGCTGACACACACTGCCATTTGGTGTTTCAAAGCAAAGTCTGAGTGATGTTTGCCTGAATGCTGTTTTTATGTGCTTTCCTTTTGGTAATGTGTTAGTTTCAACTTGAATGTCTTACCTTTTTTTTTTCAATAAATCTATTTTTTGGTGTGTGTATTTAAAAGACAAACACAGAGAGATAGGGACAAAGAAAGCTTCAATTCTTTGGTTCATTTCCCAGATATCTCAATAGCTGAGGCTGGGCCAGGCTGAAGCCAGGAGCTCAGAATTCAATGGAGGTCTCCCAGGTGTCTGCCCAGGACCCAAATATTCCAACCTGCTGGGTACACGTTAGCAGGAAGCTTCTGAAATCAGAAGCAGAGCTGGCACTCAGACCGCTGCATTCCAACGTGTTGTGACATAGGTAATCTTCGTGCTGTCTCAACTGCTGTGTTAAATAACTGCTCCCTCCCACTGAAACGAAAACTTGAGTGTCGTTTTAACTTGGAAAATGAATAACTTCCAAAATTAACCCAGTTGATAGATGTTAGATTTTTTTTGTAATTAAAATAGCAAACTCCTATGGGAAGTTCAATTTCATTTTCTCTTGTTGATGTTTTGGGTGTGATCTTGACAAGACAGCTTCTTCCGAAACACTGATGTTTCTCCAGCTGCCTCCTACAGACCTCAGTGGCTTCTTGTTTAACATGTGAATTTTGGGTTAGAGTCTCTCTTTCTTTCTTTCTTTCTTTCTTTCTTTCTTTCTTTCTTTCTTTCTTTCTTTCTTTCTTTCTTTCTTTCTTTCTTTCTTTCTTTCTCTTTCTTTCTTTCTTTCTTTCTCTTTCTTCCTTCCTTCCTTCCTCCTTCCTTCCTTTCTTTCTTTCTCTCTCTCTCCCTCCCTCCCCCCTTCCTTCCTTCCTTCCTTTCTTCCCTCCTTTTTTAGTAATAACTTGGCTTTCAATTACACTTAATCATAAAAATCAAGTTAATACTAATCTGTATTGCTTGGATGACTATCTTCCAATTTAGTCATAACACATGACCTCAACTACAAAGGCTGTATTTGGCATTTTGGGCATGTGTGGGTTCTTTTCGGAATATCTCTTTTTTTTTGTGAGTGGTGGAAGTGTGTGTAATTGCTTTTATGATAGGGATTACACTGGCACAGGATCATGAATGACAAGGACACTCAAATAGGACAGTATGTACCCATTCACTGAGCCTTTAGTCATTGACCCACTGAGCCTTACTTTACATCGTCTCCTTCCAGAAGGCGGCGGTAAGTAGCAATTTCCTGCTCCAGCCGGGTCTTTATGTCCAGAAGGGCGTTGTACTCATTGTTCTGGCGTTCTGTGTCACTCCGCACCTGCATCAGTTGGGCCTCCAGAGAGCTCAGCATGCCCTGGAGAGTGGCCAACTGGTTACTGTAACGAGCTTTGGTCTCTTCCAGGGTGCGCTCCAAAGATTCTTTCTGTGGGCACAAGAAAAAGGGGGAAGAGGGGCTTAGTTGAGGATTTGATGTTAAGAAGTGGCTTGATTTTAACTTCTTGTACGAAGCATTTCTGCAGCTGGGACCTATGCGACTCTTGTGCACTTCTAGTTCTACTTCCTGCTCTATCTCGGCAACCTTAGCTTCCCAGCTAGGATCACTAGCTCTTGGCTTTTTCTCCGTTTCCAGCTCAGCCCCCATGTTGTCTCAGGGCAGTACGCCGTATTGTTGTTTTCAAGGGTTGCTTCTCCATTTTCTCAAGAGGTCAGACTTCCCACCCCTTTCCTCAGGCTTGGCTATGTCATTAGACTTCTTCAACCCATGGACACCAGGCTTCTTCCTGAAACTGCTTTGGTTGAGGAAATGCAGGTGAAACTGACCAATCTTTGTTGGGAGGAGAAGCTGTCAGTCTGGCATGTCTTGCTCCTTGCCCCTTTTCTTTCTCCTGCAATCCCATCATGCCCCGGAAGGGGTGTACTCCTTTACTGTTGCCCTGAGGAGTGAAGGTCATGGACGAGCTGCCAGGGACCTCTTATGGCTACAGTGCTGCTCTTACTGTTGTGATTTGAGGGTTGCTGGTTCTCACAGCATCAAGAATCATGAGCTGGCTGAACTACATAGCCTGCAATGTCTCTCTACTTTTAACTGCCAGCTTAAAAATTCATCTCAAATTTTAAGATCTAATTTATTGTCACCTTCCCTGTGAAAATTTTTGGGAACTTTTCTTCTTCTGGGTTGCTTTCTGCCTTTTAATTATAGTGCGTTGTTCAGCCTGTTTTCCTACTGGCTCTGCAAGGGGCGGAGGGGGCAGTGTCTTCTCTTTAAGGTCTTTGTGTTTCCAGAGTCCCTAACCCAGGTACCTGGATGGCACTCGGTGGTTTGGGAGATGGGCTCTGGGGCTGTGCTTTACCATGCCGAGTTGGGATTGGAGTTCTATCTCCAGGATCTGCTGGGTGCGCTTCAGCTCCGTCACTTGGGCCTCGATTCCTTTCAACTCCTGAGTATCCACCGTGACTTGCTGCTGCAGAGTTTCCGTCTGAAGTCCAGCAAGAAAAAACAAAAACAAACAACTACATGAATAAGGAGAGAAGGAGGGAAAGGAAGAAAGGCAGAAGGAATGAATTAGCGAAGGAAAGGAAAGAAAGGAAGAAGGAGGAGGCATGGAAGAAAATGAGTTGTGTCTTAGAGGACAGCTTGCACACCCTGGCACACACTTTAGAATTTTGCTGTACCTGTCGCTCAAACTGTTCCTTGGCCTCTTGAAGGTTCTTCTGGGCCAGGACTTCGTATTTCTGTCTCATTTCACTCATGATTTCCCCGAGGTTTAGGCCCGGAGCCGCATCCACCTCCACATTCACAGTGTTGCCTAGTTGCCGGCGTAGGACATTGACTTCCTACAAGAGTCAAAATCCTGAGAGGTTTAGTCTGAAACACATCCTCAAAAAAAAAGGCTGAACAGAAAAGCCATAAGATATCTTGTAATTTCTTTCACTGTTAATGAGTGTTTTTTTTTTTTTTTTAAGGAAGCAGTAACTTATGAAGGGCTATTGCTCCAAGTCACTTAATGTGTAACAACCTTCTGAAATGAAGGACGAGCTGGCATGGCTGTGTGTCGTTTTCCCCATCACTGCCCCCACCAGCACCACCAGCACTCTTCCCTCTTCCTCCTCTGTCAGTCCCAGTGCTGCCTCTGCATTTTGTCTCACCTCCTCGTGTTCTCTCTTGAGGAGATCCAGCTCTTTATTCAGTTCTTCAATTTGAATCTCCAAGTCAGTTCTCTGTAGGGCTAGTTCACCAAGAATCTTACGCAAACCTTGAAGGTCGGCCTCCACTGTTAGGCATAGCCCCCTCTCGGTCTCAAACCTGTGAATCAATGATGTGTAGAAATAGCTGAATCTCTCAGAAATCTAAGCTAATAAGACGGGTTTTTACATGGTATAATTGTGTAATTTCCCTCCTGAAATGCACAGATAATTTGCTCCACCACATAATCTCTGATTTGGAGTAATTGGTCAAAACTTTGATGTGATGTGACTTTATAAATTTCTCAATTCTAGAATAGATTTTAAAAGAAATTGAAATAGTAGTTTTACTTTCTGTCTGTTACTGCAATGGTTTCTGTTACTGATGTGAAATAATGGTTAACTTCACCTAATAAATGTACTAGATCAATTTGTTTTGAGCACTTTTGTAAATAGATGGATCCAAGGAAAATGATCTTAAATGGACTTCTTCCACAAGCTTATAAAAAAGCCATCTTTTAAAAGAAATATATTTAGGGGTTGGTGCAGTGGCACAGCATGCTAATTCTCTGCTCTGTAGCACCAGCATCTGATAAATGTATTGGCTTCTCTCCTGGCTACTCCACTTCCCCTCTAGCTTATGGCCTAGGAAAGTGGCAGAGAATGGCCTGGGTCCTTGGGACCCTGGACCCGGGTGGGAGACCTGGAAGAAGCTCCTGGCTCCTGGCTTCGGATTGGCCCAGCTTTGGCCATTGTGGTTACTTGGAGAGTGAACCAGCGGATGGAAGACCTCTTTTTGTCTCTCTTTCTGTCTCTGTAAAATCTGCCTTTCAAATAAAAATAAATAAAGCTTTAAAAAATATTAATTTGAAAGGCAGAGTTACAGAAAGAGGGAAATAGATAGATAAATAGATAGATAGATAGATAGATAGGTAGATAGATCTTGCCATATACTGTTTCATTCTCCAAATGGTCACAGCAGCCAGAGCTGGGCCAATCCGAAGCCAGGAACCAGGAGCTCCAGTGCAGTAATTTTTAAAAGCAGCAAGCTGTGGCGTAGTAGATTAAGTCATTGCCTGCAGAGCAAGACTCTCATGTGAGCGTAGGTTGAGCCCCAGCTGTTCCACTTCTGATCCAGCTCCTGGCCAACTCTGCCTTTCAAATAAATTTAACAATAAAATAAGATAAAACCATAAACTATAGAGAAAAGGTGACATGAGGAGGCATTCAGATACTGAGTAAAATTGGAATGAAGTGAACTTTGCCTGTTTTAATGGTCCTATCTATTTCCTCATTTTCTTCTCTTGAAATCCCTCATGGCATTAAAGGAGGACTCTGGGGTCACTGCTTTGTACAAGAGCAGGATGATGAAGTTACAGCGTGGAATCAGGAAACGAGGAGCAGCTCTGATCACCCATGACGTGGGGGCCATAGAGAAAGGGAATGTGATTTGGAGTACATGATCCTAGATTGCTTCTTTGATTGGTCAGCTCATGTTGTAAAACACTGCAAAACTAGACAGCGTCAGTAGTCACCCTTGGAACTCGGGCCAAATGCACGGAAACACTTGGAAATCACCAAGGTGGATGTGGAGATAACAGAAAGTTCAGACACAGAAGGGGGAGTTGTAATCGCTTTGTCATTACTCCAAAGGGCAGATTTAGGTTCAGTGGGGGGAAAGGCAGATAAGAACAAATGTTTCAGCAGAAGGAGCAAGCAAAGGAGAAAATGAGCAGTTCCTGGCAGTGGTCGGGTACGTGCTGTAGGGGGAGGCCATGCCTGAGCACTGGATTAGATTAGATAGCTTGCAGCATCATTTCAACTCTAGGATTCTGAGAGTATTAGTGTCATGAAGCACTCCTGGAAGGGATTGCTTTTCAGAAAAGACCATGATCTTGGAGAACCTACTTCAGTCTAAAGTCCTCAGCGGCCAGTTTGACATTGTCAATTTGCAGGGTACACCGGGCGTTTTCCAATTGCGCATTCTTAATCTGGAAAATATGTAAGCAAGGATGACATTTTCAACTGGATAGGATTTTTTAAAAAAAATGTTTAAATTTATCCTCAGATACAACTACCATCATAATGTATTGAAAATAATGTTAGGGTCAAGAATTTCACGTGAAAACAGGAAGAAGTACAACATGGATATTTAACATAAGAGAATCCTAAAATGCAACTCAAGCCCCTTTCTTGCGATTTTACAAAGGGAGAGTTTATGTCTCTGCAGTCACCTGCCCTTACCAGCGCTTTGCCTGTGACGTGGCTCCCGTTTTTCACCTTCCTGTTAGCCCCTCTCCCCTGTGAACTCCCACTCCCGCTCTGAGTCTCAGCTTGGGCCAAGTGGCATCAAGGGGTCTGCCAGTGTTCTGGTTGTCCTCCCCAGCCCTTCTTGCCAGTGTTTAATCTGCTGCTTAGTTGCTTTATCCATGCATTATTTTTTTTCCCTCCCAAGCCACATTTTGTTCAACATCAAATTCCCCATTACCCAGCACCTGGCTAGTGTTAACTAAGTTTTGACTCAATGAATGAATGGACATTGTTGTGTGATGAGGCGCTTGGAATAGGAGGGTAGGGAAGCTCTGGATTCAAACCAACTTTGAAAAATTTGTTCACTGGAGAAGGAGAGAGTAGCACATATAATCTCTCCATATGCCTGTGATGGCTGAGGCTGAAGTTGGTGCTGGGAGCCCAAAACTCAGACAGGTGACCCACGTAGGGGACAGTAACCTGATGACTTCAACCATCATCTGATGCTCCTAGGTTTGCACTAAGAGGAAGGGGGAGTTAGGAGGTAGAGCTCAAATCAAGTTTAAGTCCTTCAATATGGGAAATGGGTATCCTAACCACTAGGCCAAACACCTGTCCTGCCTCTGGGTCTTAGGAAGGGCTAAGGAATGGAGGAGTTCTCCCAAGTCACACATGGATCAGAAGCCCATCTGTACAAGATGGTACAGTGACAGCTACAGTCTTAGTGGAGCCGGTCCTGCAAAGGGCTGCCTTCCCACGCTGGGTCTGCCACCAAGGCAGCTGATAACCTTTGCGGTGACCCAGGGCAGATTCTATGCTGTGATTCATAGCGAGGTATGAGAGAAGGACCGGCTGCTTTTGAACAATTTTTGAGAGTTCAAGAAGGGCGAACTGTTGTCGGGAAAGTGACAGAGTGACTTGGTGTGCCTGCCCATCCTGGACTTGGTAGAATCTGCGTCAGATCTCGTTGCTCCTTATCACCACCCAAGAGCAGGAGACTCTCTGGCGAGGAAGTAACCTTTGCCCTGGAGTTAGAACCCTCAACTACACATGAAAACGAAAGGGAAACCTTTCTTGATGAAACAAGAGCATGAAAGTAAAGCCCGTGCTCGTTATCATATCTGAAATCGCCAGCTGGGGACGAAAGTCTCCTGCCTTTATTTCATGCACTTCATGCCCCTGATAAAACAGCTTCCTCTTGGGTGACGTGGCATCCAGTTATGGTAGGATTGCAATAAATTTGAATTGCGGGCAGTAGATTATTAGCAGATAAATAGTTTCTCAATTGCTTGGTGATGATGATCAGATTATTACACAGAGCATGTTAGGAATGTAAAGACTGTTTAGGCCTGTACCTCTTGCCCGTTTCTACTCTTGAATCGATCTATTCTTTAAATCCAAGAAACTATTTAAACGCTTATATTGCATCAGTGAAGGACAAAGCTCTGAGTTGACTAGAGTGTCAAACCTTGATGAAGACTAGGGGAGAAACTCAGCAAAATTCATTATCACATAAAAACAGCTCTTTCCAGGAAGAAGAAAAAGGAACTGTCCCTGTAGCTGATGCAGTAAACTGCAGCAAAAATAGACAGTATCACACCGGAAGTGTAGTCATATTTTGTATGTAATTGGATCTTTAAAAAAAAAAAAACCTTACCAGTATGATTTATAGTCATCCTCGAGCACCAAGCACTTGAGCACTTTGAGCCACAGCGTCTGAGCCGTATCTGCTCTATCAGGTTAGTTTGACCAGGGGAGGGGAAAGCATGGACCTCACCTGGTTCTGCAGCTCTTCGATTTGCTGGTAGTAGGCACTGAAGTCCCGGATGCCACTGGGTGCATTGGCTTCGTACCACTGCTTGATCAGGGCTTCGAGTTTGGTGTTGGACTGCTCCAGGGAACGCACTTTATCTAGGTAGCTGGCCAGGCGGTCATTTAGGTTCTGCATGGCCATTTTCTCGCTGCCAGGGTACAGATCACTGCCACCGCCAAGACTGTTTCCATAGCTCACCGCAGAACTGGCAGTTGAGATCCGGGTGCCATAGCCTCCAGCACCCCCGTAAACGCTAGGTGCAGCCCCAAGGCGCTGCTGGCCCCCCTGCCTATAAATGGAGCTGCTCATGATGAGCGCAGGGCCTTGTGAAGAGGAACTCAGGCTTCTATGGACACTTCTGCGGCTGAAATCCATTGGGGAGGCTAGGAGAAGGCACCTGTAGCTTTAGGATGGCTGGCGCAGTCTGTCTCCCAGCAGGTGCTGAGCTGACCTTTTATGCAGTTAGACCAGACTCCACCTCTGCTGACTTATCGCCTCAGCAATGACACAGTCCACCTTGCCCTGTGTGTGTGTGTGTGTGTGTGTGTGTGTGTGTGCCTTTTTCCCCTTCCCTCCTTTATATGCTTATTCTCTCCCAGAAATGATCACTGGAAGCATTTCATCAAGGCATTTCTCCAGGATGACCACTTTTTTTTTTTTCAAACACAGATAACAGAAGGCAGCAGGAAGGTGTATTCTTTTAATCCTTGCACCTGTCTCGGCAGATTTTCCTTGGCTCAGGACACACATAAAGAACATTTACAGTCCTCATACATAATTTATCTGGGAAGACAGATGTCGGGACATAATGGCAAGTCACACTGGTCATAGAGGAGAGTCCCTTGTTTGTGTTGAAAACATGTGACTCTTCAGGGCCTCTTCTGGCTTTTGGTTTATCCTTGGTTTATGTCTAAGAGGCCTTTAAGCAGCATACAGCCGATACAGTGACAGGAGTGAAAGGCGTAGACACTTGGAGATTGGTTTGGGAAAGTGAATTACAACAAATTTGACGAGTGGCAGATCAGTTGGAGGTTTTTTATTTTTTTATTTTGTTTTAAAGATTTATTTTTATTATTTTTGCATTGGAAAGGCGGATATACAGAGAGGAGAGACAGAGAGGAAGAACTTCCGTCCGATGATTCACTCCCCAAGTGAGCGCAACGGTCGATACTATGCCGATCCGAAGCCAGGAGCCTCTTCTGGGTCTCCCACGCGGGTGCAGGGTCCCAAAGCTTTGGGCCGTCCTCGACTGCTTTCCGAGGCCACAGGCAGGGAGCTGGAAGGGAAGTGGGGCTGCCAGGATTAGAACCGGCGCCCATATGGGATCCCGGGCATGCAAGGTGAGGACCTTTAACCACTTGCGCCACCGCACCGGGCCCAAGTTGGAGGTTTTTTAAAAGGACAATTCTAATTTTTACGACTAGATAATATGTTTGACATTTGGAGCCACTCTCTGGCCTTTGTTCTGTTTCTGGAAGCTCTAAGAGCGTGATGCTGTGCACCCGGCCTTGTACTTGGACGTGGCGTTGTGCCCTGTGTTAAGGTCAGTCCAGCAGCACTGTGGATGGACTCTGCACCATCCCTGCTGAACCTACATGCACTGCCTCTGGAATCCCCTGTGGAGTTCAGTCACAGAAGCTTCCAGAAATCCTGATGTTCCTCACAGGTCTCTCCCTCCCCCGCCCCACCAAAACACAGGAGGGGGTGTGAATGCTGCCCCGGGATTCCACCCTATTTCCAGGGTTGGGCTGCTTGTGCTCAACCCCAAACACAGGAGAAACAGAGAGAAAGGTCTTGTGTCTCTGGTTCATTCCCCAAATGGCTGTAACACCCTGTGCTGAGCTGATCTGAAGCCAGGAGCCAGGAGTTTCTTCTGGGTTTCCCACATGGGTGCAGGGTCCCCTTTTGGCCATGCTCTTCTGCTCTCCTAGGCCATAAGCAGGGCGCTGGATGGGAAGTGGGGCAGCTAGACACGAACCAGCATGCATATGTGAGTAACTATTCTTTGGTGATGGACCCAATTATGTTTAAACCTGAATTAAAATTCCATTGTCAATATTTTTGGAATTAAATTTGTTATCTTACCAATTTTTGTCTGGCATTTAAGTTTGTAAAGTTTTAAAATCAAAGTAAGATACAATAAGGCTACTGTGAGGTGGGATAGTCATCCCCTGTGTTTTGCTGTTGGAGTAGAAAGATTCCTAGTGGAAGCGCTGCTTGCTGGAGTGAGGACAGGAGATACCTACGCCGCTCTATCATGGAGTCTTGGGCCTTGACACACGGCTGTCTCATAATTGTGACCCCAAGGACTCAGGTGAGAGGGTAGACATTTAACACAGCGAAGATGCTGCTGAGGGAGCCCACATATGAGTGCCTGGGTTACAGTATCTCCTCTGCTTCTGATTCAGCCTCCTGCTGATGCACACTCTAGCACACAGTACACAGTGGCTTAAGTCCTTGGATTTCTGCCTTGCATGGGGGAAATCTGGGGTGCGTTCTGGGTGCCTGTCTGTAGTGGACATTGGGGGGTGACCCACACGATGGGAGATCTCTTTTTAGCTCTCTCTCTGTGTCTCTTTGCTCTACAAATAAATTAAGTAAAAACAGAAAAAAAAAAAAAAAGGAAACTAAGTTAGTATTCCATGGCAGTTCCTTTTTCTGAGTTGTACTTGAGGACAGGTTTGAGAACTTTGGAACCCTTGTTCATACTGAAAGCCATGAACTTAGAGCCCCTGATATTCCAGGGTGTTGGATGACTATATCTGTAATATGTGCTTATTACACTCTAACTTCCTTGTAGGTGATAGCTGGTGCTTTTTGGTCTCTGGAACAGTCTCTACTGAGAATGTTCCTGCTTGGTAAATGTGACAGGCTGACAGAAGAGTTGTCACAAGCACTCCCACCTCCCCACTGTAAACAAACAATTACAGTTTGGGTATTCCAGAGACAGACATGCCGGTGTTCTAGAGAGGCATTGCCTTTTCCCAAAAAGAGAAGTAGGCTGGTATTGATGAAGGGCGCTTGGCAGTGAGGTTTTTGTTTAAAGAAGAGGGGCAGGAAATGGACAAGAGGGGTTGATTAGGTAAACTAGCATGATTATATTTTTTTTTTAAAGATTTATTTTTTATTATTTTATCATTGGAAAGGCGGATATACAGAGAGGAGAGACAGAGAGGAAGAACTTCCGTCCGATGATTTACTCCCCAAGTGAGCGCAACGGGCCGATACTATGCCGATCCGAAGCCAGGAGCCTCTTCCAGGTCTCCCACGCGGGTGCAGGTTCCCAAAGCTTTTGGGCTGTCCTCGACTGCTTTCCCAGGCCACAGGCAGGGAGCTGGAAGGGAAGTGGGGCTGCCGGGATTAGAACCGGCGCCCATATGGGATCCCGGGCGTACAAGGCGAGGACCTTTAACCACTTGCGCCACCGCGCCGGGCCCGATGATTATATTTTACACAGTTATTCTGGCACACTCAGGTTGTGATTTGTTCTTTTCTTTTCTTTTATTTTAAAGATTTATTTTAATTGGAAAGGTGGATATACAGAGAGAGAGACAGAGAGGAAGATCTTGTGTCTGATGATTCACTCCCCAGGTGGCCGCAACAGCTGGAGCTGAGCCAACCCGAAGCCAGGAGCCTCTTCCGGGTCTCCCACGTGGGTGCAGGGTCCCAAGGCTTTGGGCTGTCCTCGACTGCTTTCCCGGGCCACAGGCAGGGAGCTGGAAGGGAAGCTGGGCCGCCGGAATTAGAGCCAGAGCCCATATGGGATCCCAGGCGTGCAAGGTGAGGACCTTAACCACTACACCATCGCACCGGGCCCTTGATTTGTTCTTATTTGGTGGTTCTATCCAGCTGGACTGCAACGATTGAATGGGTCTTTTGTGTCATAGCTCTGTGAAATTATCAGAGGGAGAGTATATGTGATCATATGACATGTGGCACTTCACAACGGGGACACCTGAGAAATGCATCGTGAGGTGGTCCTATCATTGTGTGAACATCAAACCTGGATGGTATAGCCTACTAGCACCTTGACAGTATGGTGTGTGTGTGTGTGTGAGAGAGAGAGAGAGAGAGAAAGAGAGAGAGCCTATTCTTGCTTCTAAAGTTGTGCTGAACAGAACCACACATCATTAAATCAAGCAGGAGAGAAAGGGATGTTACTGAGCAAACACAAGATGGATAAGGCTACTGCCTGGAGAACATGAGCTTTCTGTGTCACAGAGTTTTTTTTTTAATAAGTAAAGCTACAGCCTAAAAGGATGCTTAAAATATCATAAACCAAGTATATAAACAGTAACGCTATTATTGCTATCATCAAGAATTTTTGTTTTGTATATAATTGTCTTAGTTACACTTTTATGTGTCTTGTAGTGTAGTGCGTTGACACCACACCAGTATCACTGCAAACAAGTGAGTTGTGCTTTGTGCTGTGAGATCTCGATAACTGTGATGTCATAGGTGACGGGGATTTTGGAGTTTCACCATAATCTCAGAGACCACCGCTGTATATACTGTTGTTGATCAAAATGTCATGCGATGTCCTACTGCAACCCGCTGTTGTGAACACAGACATTTTACAATCAAGCCTGATGCCCAGCACTCTAAGACCAAGTCTGTGCCTGCATTTTTGTTCCTTTCTAGTCCTAGGTGCCACAGTAGCTGCCCTCCTGCACTGCAAATCTGCAAATCCTGGGATTGGTTAGCCTTGTTTGCCCAGACCAAGAAATTTTCTGGAAGGTGAAGGCTTTCATTGTTGAACCTGAGCCAGGTGGTCACCCTGCTCATTTGCCTGTGCCCATCTGCCTTCCAGGTGTGGCATGGGAGTGCACTTTGGCCCTGTTCCTTTGTTGAACTAAAGGGTGTAGGGCAGGAGGACCAGAATGAGATAAGGATGGCTCCAGGCTCTGAATTGGGAGAATTGGTGGCGCTGGGGATGCCCTTCTTGGAGGGGCTGGTGGGACTGGGCTGGGGGTGGTATGGGGAGGGGTTGTGGCCCAAGGGGCACACTGTAGCTTCATGTGTGGCTCAGTGTGGTACACCATGTCTGCACTGGACCTCCATGGAGAAAGCCTGCAGGAAGAGTCCTGTAGAGGGCTCGCTCTGGGGCGAAGCTGGTGGTGCTTCCTAAGGTGCGCAGGAAAAGCTTCATCTGACCTCCTTCATTCTCACACAGATGCCTCCTGTGTTAGTTGCCACCATGATTCAAATTCATTCCATCTACCCGAAATTCCAGGGTTTCGTCTCTGCGCAGATAGATTATGAGGTTCTGGAAGAGGCTGCCATTGCATAGACTGCGCACTTTCCAGGAAGTCTGTCTCTGGACAACTCGGCTCCCGTAACTGAGGTTTCCACTCACTTTACGGGTCTGGGGGGCA